GACAAAACAACAGCTAAAGCGTACATGTAAACCCCGCTACAGCCTTTAAACTCTTATATAATCTAGCTAGCTAGACAGGAAGCCAGAGGCCTCCCCCCCTGGCGTCTTTTGCCCCAACGGGGACTGAAGGGCACGTGACTTGCGTACGTGCCCGCCTAGACGTTAAATAGACACACACACACACACACTTATATTATAATTAGTAGATTGTGACGAAGTTTTTATATAATATTCTGATTAAGAAGTTAGTCTACGATTATAAGAAATATAAGACGATCTTACATTAATCGAATCTAGTTCTTATTATAGAGTATAGTCACGTTTTAATTATATGCCCTTATATCCTCTTACTAACTAAACCTGAACTTTGGAACAATTTAATAACTTGGCATTGCCAAGGTGTTAGAATAGCCCTATATTTATATAATACAACAATTCTACGCGAGGGTGCTTAATCCTGGTCCGAAAGGCCTCCGAACCGTATAGGAGATAACTTCCCTTTCTTTCTCGAAACTTTAAATATAAAATAAGATAGACGTTTCTATTTATATACCTAGTTATAAACGGTAAGTAGAGTAGAGAGGTTATTATAGAGCTTCTTATCTAGCTACCTAGGTAAAGCATTATTAGAACTAATTCGATAACGCGACGTTATATTTAATTAGAGTAGTTTAAAGGATTAGCTAATTCTCTCACGTTTTACTAGAAGCTATACTTCCCTAGAAGATAGCGATTTCTCGGTGATTTTAAGGGATATACCTGGGTACTTACTACATACTTATATCCTAGTAGCGGTACTAGCGGTAGCGTAGGAACACTTCTAATTAAATACTTAACCCGACTTAAGTAGTACTTAAGTTAAGTTAAATAAGTATAATTAGGTAATTTTGTTAAGTTAAGTTAAGTAGTAGATTTAACTATTTAACTAATACTTAATTAGTTATATGAAACGTAATTAAACTATAAAAAGAAATCCTATCCCTATTCTTTAAGATTATAAAGGGTCTAGATAGCTCAGGTCTCTCTCTTCCTCTACGCCTATACTCCTCCCTTTAATTACTTTTTAATATACCTCTATATAAATCGAATAATCTAATTAGCTAAGAGGTTTATATTATAGGCGTATACCCTACCTATAATAAGTCGTATATAAGGGAGGGGGAGACAGGAGGTGTCTAGACCCTTTATTAGACCCGAGGTAGGGGCACTCGGCTAAGCTCTGTACGAAAGGTACGAAAGTACGTGGGCGGACCGACCGTCCGGGGCGTCCGGATTCGGCCAACGAGCCCGGGCGCGTTACGGTGCATCGGGCCGACACTACTCGAGTTACTAACAAGTTTATCCAGTACTTGGCGAGTTGAGTAGAGTAAATACCACTAAACTTAATTACTCGAATTTACCACGCTGACTGAAAGGAATGGATCCCGAAGATTTGACGTCGTTTAGTAAGTCCCTCGATAGGTTAAAATGTATCCTCTAGCCATTAATTTAATCCCTTCCATAACAAGAGTAGAATGGCTATCTGTCCTCTCTTGTTACTAGATCTATTTATACTACCTTACCGACTTAGACAAAATGAAGAATCAGAATACCTGCTAGTCAGTTGACGCAGTTATATCGCCCATTGCGAGGAGGGGAAGAATATGAAGGTGGGGGTTTTAAGTTCAAACCATTTAAACAAATCACAACGACTTCTCAACATGGTAATTTTCATTCTTATAACTGTCTGTCGTTGCTGTTTTCCTGGAAATTTGGTCAGCATTCTTGTTGGACTCATCCAGGTATTTCTTTTTTACAACAATGAGGATTTGCATTTCCATCACAAAGGCAAGGATCATTCGTTCTCTGCCGAACCCCGCATGATGCCCCAGTGAAATATGGTTTGGATCCTCTTGGGCCCAGTCCTGCCTGCGGCCGATTTTCGGCAATGTGAACCAATGCTCCCCAAACCCACTTTTTCAGGCGACTCAAGTCCTCTCCCAGCTTCGTTTCTATTTCCCCCCTCCCTTTCGAGACTACATATAAATCTCATGCAAGCTCAACACAGAATTAATCCTACAAATTCAGATTCCAAGCTTTACATTTACGAAGACAGCACTCACGCAAACTTCACGTCAGGCAATACAAAACAACACAATGAGGGACGCGTCACTAGAAGGGCTATCGGACGAGCTGATATTGGAAATTATCAAACACCTATCTTTCATCGAGAGCTCATCCTACTACCAAGAAAGCAATTCCACTGCGAAGATTCTGTTCAGCCTTGGCCGGTGTTGTCATCGATTCTATGGGCTTGTTCTGCCCTTCGCCTATTCCCATTTTTACCAGTCTGAGGGGAACAAATGTTCTATATTTTTGTGCAGAATATTGGAGAGTCCGGCATTAGCAAATTATGTCAAATCCCTCACAATCACTTCTGAGTCGGGTTGGGAAGAGCAAACTTCTGGTTCATGCGACCGTAATTCTGCAATTGCTTCTTGGGATGAGGAGGAGCTGTCGCGTGTGAGAATAGCAATTGAGGAGGCTTCCCAGTCCTCAAAGGACGCCATTGACTGGTTCAGCGAATTAAAAAAAGGCACCTGGGATGCCTGGATAGCGGTTTTGTTATCACGGCTTCCTAATCTTGAAGTGTTGGATATCCATCAGGTCTATGATAGGATGGATCATGACACCCAACCCTGGCTTCTAAAGTTCTTGACCAAAGCCACTAAGCTTCAAAATACATCCTCGACCTCGGTACTCGCACTCAACAAGCTTAGAGAGGTGTCAATTTACCAAGAAGAAGAGAGTGCAATTAAAAGCATAGAGGCTCGCGCCTTTCTAAATTTGCAATCAGTCAAAACCTTTGCCGCTCACCCTTTGGATGGAGAGGATATAGACTGGGAGGATGACAATTATCGATTCGCCACCACAGACTTGACTTTTTCTTTTGACTACGTACATGATGAGCCCAGACTGGCACCAGGACTACGACCACTCGCGAGGCTTCTCAGATGCTTTCCCTCACTCGAGAGTCTACATGTTGATCGTCAAGATGAGTCACTCAGAATTTCCCAAGCGCATGTGACCGATTTTATGCAAATCATGTCTCATCTTCAAGACACCCTCAAAGAGCTGCATCTTTTTGCAATAGATAGTCCCGAAAGCTCAATTGGTTCTCTAGCCGACTTTGAGAAGTTGAAAACTCTCAGTGTGGCGCCGTCATTGCTCACCGGTTCTGCATTGGATACTAACACCGGACTTCCTTACGCGAATATCATGATGGAGTCTCTCCCTCGTGCTCTCGGGTACCTCAACTTCTGGAACATTACACAACAAGAAGCTCCTTCAATCATCGCACTCATCCAGAACAAAGATAAATACACCCCTTCGCTAAGATCCCTCACACTCGAATGGGTAGAAATCAGATACCCAGATGAAAAGAAAAACGCTCATCCACTTTCAGAGGTGCTGTTCAAACATCCTGGTTTCACAAGAGAACAAGCTTGTGATCTATGGCAAGATTGCCAAGCCAAGAACGTGGAAATAGTGACTAAGGTCCAATCACCACCAACGAAGTTCGTAGCATGGCCCTACAACAAGGAGATTCCGAAATTTCTTCCAAAAGAAACAACTGCAAGTCGGGAGTATGGCGCTTATGGAAAGTATTCGCAACCCGTCTTCAATTTTCCGTGGCCCTATGACGGATTTGAGGACTTTGTTAAAGAGCAGGGGTATGATATGAATGTAAAGCCCACTAAGTTGCAAGATTGGGGGACCTATGGAGAGGATGGTGTCGGTATGGGACCTTCTTGGGATAGTTTACAAAAAAGTCTTGAGGTCGAAAGACTGGCACGTGGCTACTAGTCAGAAGGGTTGAGAGAATGCTTCAAAATCCCAAGGTCTAGAACAAAAGAGTGTTTTACTATAGTTCTAAACAACCAAATAACATGAATCAAGCTTGAATTCTGCAGGCTGAGAGGCCTAAGTGTCTTGAAAGTGAAGACTGTTTTTCAGAGTGATAACTGGTATATCTCCCTAGCGCCCTCCCAGCATGAGAAAGGGGCTAGAAAGAAGAGGGGTCAATTCATCGCTTCTTGCGGATGAACAGCATACATTTCGGTTTACTCACCCTGAAACATCAACTTCCAAAGCCAGGGTTTGAAAGCAAGTAACAGCAACAAGATTCGAAACTTTCACGTGTGGCGAGGAGCATTATTTATGCCCAAGGCCCATTGCGGTGAAGAGAATTAATCGAACTGATATCTGGGATAGTTAGAAAGTATACAAATGAGCAGGATGGTCATATCAAGTAAAGAAGGAATACCGCCAGACAAACGCGATCACTGATCCCCAAGAATCCACAGTTCTGAAATTTCGATAATTAAACTGAAATCAAGTCAAAATATCCTCGTCAGTCATACAGCTGGTCCCGAAAGTGTGAAAGCTACATCTGTGCTTAGCCGAAAGATCTAAATAATGAATCGGTTCTGGGCTGAACCTAACATCCATTAATGCAGAAGAGTCATCCACCCCTACGGGTGCAGTTCATCGTCATACACATTTCTCACATTTGCGACTGGAGCTAGGAGAAGTGGCTCAAAGTTTGTATGTTGACGGTGAAGATCTTCGTTTTGCCAGAGTCTGTCCAGAAACCCGCCCTCAGGAAAGCTCCTCTTATGTCATTATGACACGTTGTCAATGCTGGTTACACACCATTTATCCCTGCCCTGGTACCGTAGTACAATCCGTGTAAGGAAATTTACAATCACATCGTGTCTTGCGCTGCTGACGCGGATACAAGAAAATACTAGCTGAAACTTTGACTATTGATAGGATATTGCAGGCATAAATGAAGAAAGAAACGATTTTGTGAGACACTTTATTGAAAAGGAGCTTTTCAGTTCTCTTCTTTTGCAGAAGTACGGAAAAAAGGATGCGAAAGTCACATAATTATGTCTCAAGTTCTTCAAATCACTGGCTTTCTCTCATAGACTCTCAGGAATGCTCTTTTCCTTTACATTTTCTAGTCCAATTACTCTCATAGCTAGGAGAGTTCCTCTTTATAAGTACTTGAGAAATCACGTGCAGAACCATTCTATTAAGATGCAAGAGGGCAATGGATACTTTTTGTTCAACTTATAATTCTTCATGGTTCAGATAAATGCACAAAGTTGATGGGAGTCCGAGAGATATCGTAGTAAATATGTTTAATTCTTGAGATTCTTCCGGGCAGTAAAAATGATGACCTGGCTCAGGTGATGTTGTGAGAGTGATTACTGTAGCAGCTCCTTTTAGGGACACAATAACACACGATGTATAGCTCCACTGGAGTGGTCACGACTCATTCATATTTAGCTTACCACTCATAAATGAAGTCTCCTCGGAGGTCAAGCCATGTTACTTCGTCGAGGTCTTGAAACCCCCGACTTTATTTGAGGAGATTGAATGATTTATTAGCTTATCCAAACATCATTTGTTAAAAGCACGTCTCGGAAACTTCATGGGGAATCGAGCTTCTCTGGTAAGACTAGTGTAATATTTAAACATCAAACAATTTACCATCCGTGAATATGGAACGCAATAGCTACAGGCTAATTTCCATAGGGGTTGAAGAGGTACCCTTCCTTGCGGTTTATCTAAAATAAAAGGAGTTAGTCGGTGTATCTGGAAGATATTGAAGTTAGTTGTAAATTCCAATCTCCACAGATCTATAAAAGCACATGAGAACCAACCATCTTGCAAATTTTCAAGCCTTATAGGATGTGTTTTGCGTATCGAGGATGACTAAGCAAGCTTGCATATATCGTTTGATCTAGTTGATCACTTGTCCACAACAACAACCCATAATTAGTAGGGTTATTGTACGCTCGCAAGATGACTCTTCACTTGCTGAAGATCGGAGTAAAGGTATTAAGTCATGGAGTATCAACTATCAACTATCAACTAAAACCATTGACTTTTCTGCCTATATATGGTGTTTGCAGATACCGATTAGTCAAGCCTATCATCAGTCAGTAGCACAAGGACTCGAACCTTTCACCTGATATCTTCACCACATCCAACTTATCACCATATCTCCATATCCACCTTCTTCATTACCATCTCAAATCACTTCCACAAAAATAAATCTCAAAGCAACGAAAATGTGCATCGAACTACACACAATCTCAACCTGCGGCCACGCCGACATCCCTTGGTTACAAAAGTGCAAAGCCTACAACTGGACCCTTGGAGCATGCGCCGATGAATTTTCAGGTTCAGAAGAAAGGAAACTGACAACGAGATATTCTGCGACAGAATGTGAAGCGTGCACGAAGGTTGCGATAGCTAGAAGTGTGATGGGCAAGAAGGAGGAGGTGAAGGTGAAAAAAGGTGAGCTCAGCTCAGTTTAGTGGGAGGTGAGTTTCAGTAGGAGCTTTTGAAATGTATTAAGTTCTCAAGCTAATTTGGGGAATCCAGTCAGATTTCTCCTTGCAGTGAAATCATACGCACGAAAATCGATAGACTAGGCAATTATCTGGGCACATAGCAGTTCAGACAAAGAAAGTGTTTCAGATATAGTAAGGCCTCTTTCATAATTTTCTCGGACCTGTATCAACATGGAAAGTAACAGGCTCATAGGTTTCTGATCGTGCTAAATCCTCTCTATTCCTCGTCTCTCTCCCAACAAGTACCTACCGCCCTGATAAACTGGGAACTCTAAGCCCGCTATGGACTCATTGTTGTTAGTTTGACAACCAGAAGTTATTGTACTTGGCTGACAAGTAATAGAATAGGGTGGCGAAAATAAATACCACTACTGTTTACAGCTCCCTCGCATTTCGGTCTGCGTTATACGCGAAGCTTTTATTGTATTGTTTTCGATGCCACCGAAAGGCTCTTGCAGTCCCCAAATAAGTGATGAGTCTTGAGATTGCAAGTCGGATAGCACTCCTCTCGAAATAGCCAGTAAACTATCTTTCAAAATTTTACTTCATTTGACATACATCATAAGGAGCTAGGAAAACATCGATTCATCGGATTCTTTCTTTGGGCAGCCCAGTCAATTCATAATGCCCCCGATTTAACGTTAAGCTATCTCCCCGGGCAAACATCTCTCCACAGAGTCAACAACTTATACCCAGGCCAGGCCACCAATCACGAGCTGTACTTATCGAACTGCCAGAATTCCATTTAAGGTTGTACAGTACTGTTTACCATACGGAGTGTTGTGTATAGCATAGTTCGGCCCAAAACCATAGAATTCACTCCTACCGTAAAAGAACGCAAATTGAATACCTGCGAACTAGGCATCTGAGCAGCAGACTTCGCCATGACCGCTAGTAATGATGTTATCGTCTAGTTTTTAGAATACATATTCTATAATCTTACTTATCCTATCTAACGTTAACACTACTACTTTACGTATACATATATAAGTAACTATAAATGTATAAGATAGGTAGAAACAAGTAGAATAGATATAACTACTTGATTTAGCAGGGAGATTTATCGTAGATCCTACCTAATAACCATAAATTGTATATCTGAGTGCGATACTTGTATAGACCTCTACACGCACTCGAGAATTCACAGTGGGTTTCACGAGTATAGGGAGACGTCACCGAACAGTGTACATGGCCCCTAGTCTGAGCCAGAAAGCACACTCACTACCTGGGACCCTAGCCGTTTTACGTCAGGAGCGATTTTTGATAGACTTTCCTTGCAACAGTTTTGTACTTGTTACAGCTGCATTCTACTACTGTTTTTATAACCGTTATTAAACCGTTATAATAATTAAAAGACGTCTAGTATTTTTACTTATTCTAGTAATTAGACATAATAGTCATAAAATAATTAAAAAACTAGAACGGTTACTAAGGTTTAATAGTTTCGAAACCCTTCTAGAATTAAGTTTAATCAGTAGCTAATCTATAGTTCTTATAAAAGTTTTAATAGAATATTAGACTTCATAAGTTCTAAAAAAGAATTTTTATTTTATTTTCTATATTACACTTGTTTTCGTACCTTTTAAATACTAAAGTATAATAATATAACCAAAAGAATATAAGTATAAATCATTTAATACAGAGTCTATTAGTATTCTTTTATATAATTTTCCGACTTTTGTAAAGTAAGAAACCCATTGTTTAAAACGAAGTCTCAGTATGAAAAGAGAGATCTTTTCAGAGTTCGAAGAGCTAGCCGCCTAAGCATTCGTAAGAATACCAAAACCACCAAACAGTACTCTAGCTCCCGCAATTAGCTAAACCACATTCAAAATACATTATCTCAGTACCTCAGCCGCTAAAGCTCTAGTCGATTTCTCCTGAACCCCCGTCCCCGCCCCTCTTTCAACACCGCCTCGGACATACCCCGACCCCACAACCCCCCAACCCATCACCCCAAACAGCCACCTAGGGTCTGAGAGAAATAGCGATTCGTTGTGTGACATTGGCATCGAGATAACAATAGATGGTGTTCTATGGACAGCAAGTGACGGTTCCTTTGCTCTCAGCGCTTCCACAGCTAAAGACATTATTGTTCACATCTCTAGGAAGACCTGAACATGTCTTCTTGTTGGGGAATTCTTTTCCTCCATTGAAATCACAGCACTGGGCTTTTAAGCCATTGACACACTTTACTTTGGCATTTTGTGGAATGTCAAACGAGGCCCCGCAGGAAGTCTCTGGAGCTGCCGATACTACCGCAATAAAAGGCGCAACCGCGATGAGGATAGCTGAAAGCTGCATGATGAAGATGTGTGTTTTGATTGTGTGACTGGATAGGTTGCTGATAAGGCGTAGTGAAAGTCGATTTCAAAGTGATTTTAGAATTGCGAATCAAAGTGATTTAAGTCGCAGACCGGGCTTGAAAGTATTGCGCTGCGCAGTTCTGGGTTGAACGTAGCTCGTGAGGTGAATCGGTGTGAGTGAGCCAATTGGCTCGTCTTATTTCTGGTGAGGTACGAGGTATATCAGAAAGTGACAAGGGGTGGGAGACCCAAGCTGTCCAGACCCTTCCCCCAAAAACAGAAGGTTTATCTCGTGCAAAATGTGTAAACATTGTGCGTAGATTCTGGGGGGGGGTAATATAAATTCTATTTTCACCAATGAAACTGTTCGCTATCGAGTTTGTTTGGTGGACCAACTGGTTACTAATATTGTAGCTCAATTTTGATTGCCTAGAACAGACTTTGTTAGCGGTCACCAAATGCATGAAGTATACTTTTTCCAGGGGGAGGGGGAGGGGGCCGATAATAGAGTACAAGGTACAGTAAAAAGCCCCGACAACTCAAGTTTTGTTACGCTCTAGACGAAGTAAACATGGGAATCTAGCTAATTCTTTGACAAATACTAGTATATCCTCGTCGTAGCGTATATGCATTTCCTTCTTTGAGTTTACAATCCCCTCTTTGAGCGATAATCGTCTGAAAAGGCTTATTCCTGAAGCTTATTTTTATTATTAAAACGGTAAACTTGAAGCTATCGCAGGGAACGTCACTTATCTGAATCGCCATCATCAATCGAGTCCCGCTGTTCGTTAATAGCGCAAGTAAATAAGAAGGTGATTAATAATGAATTTTCTGATCTCTGGCTATAGATAATCGTTCACTTATATACCTATCTTTCCCTCTTCTCTAACTCCACTTTCGCCGCCTTTGCGGCTTTTATTTCGGTAGTACATATACGAGTAATTAATTGGTATTGTAGTTGTTACGTATATGAGTCAAGCTTGCTCCTTGAACTTGTTCCTCAAACTTGCGCCGGAATATACTTCATTACTAGCGGAATGATTATAAATTTTCTAGGGTAGCTAAGGCGAGCAATGGGGTAAACCCCCAGAAGAAGCTACAAGTATTTCGCCTGGAACTAATTCCGTTAGATGGAATACCATGCGAATCCGATGTAAAACTTATACGATAAAAGTAATCCAAATGCGGTTACAAAGCGTACAAGGGAGTTGCTACCAGCCTACCAGCAATAGCTATAGAAGTCGCTTCTGACTCGGTGGCTAGCCGAGACGAAAAGCCGAGGTTTTGGCGTGCGACATTACTAGTACTGTACTTATCCCAGGCGAAATATAGGGGGTGGACAGCTAAGAGTCACACCATGTTACGCAGATTATATTAGAACCTACTATATGAGGGGCTTTTTTATTAGCCTTTATACTATTCCTAGGGCAACTTTTACTTAGTAATTAGTTTATCTACGCGTTCTATTAGCTTACAAAAGGAGTAGATTTAGTTAGAATAGTAATAGTAAATAATTAGGTACAAAAATAAACTAATTATATATAACCTAGAATAAAAACAACCCCCTCCCCCCTACCTAATAGTAGGTATGCCCCCCCTCGGTAGTAATAACTGCTTATATTCGGTTAGGTATTATAAGAATTAAGTTATTAATCTCCTCTTAATCTATTAAGTCCTACTCCTCGAGGGAGTGTAACGATAACTGATCCGGCTAACTGAAGCTTGACTGTTGTTCGCTGATTGGTATGCTAGGATAAGAAGAAGAACTATCGGGTTGTTCACTTGGAAGTGAACTCGTTACTTGTATCAAAGATGTCAAACAAATATGATAAGATTGATAACTAAGTTGAGCACGAAGCTCCTATCTAATGGCAGACGTGCCAGTCTTATATAGAACCTTCGTCCTCTCCTGGATCCATCAGATCCCTTGGATCCCTTCCGGATCTATCCGGGTTCATCACGTGACAGTAACCAATGGAAATCCTTGAATCGCTTAGCTACTCTAAGCGATCTCTATTATAAGAAACCTGGGTGTGCACTGTCGAGGGTTGCGCCTCCTATTATGACATGTATCACGTGGACACGTGATTCGTGACACTAGGAACGCGTAACTTTTAAAACAAGTAGCCGTTTTAGGTTAAAACCGCTAATAGTTTTAGCCAAGTTATATTACATGAAAGTAGACCTATAGTAGGGCGTCGATCTTATTGCGCTAGCATGGTGTAACTCTTAGCTGTCTACCCCCTTTACTTCGCCCCAGGCTACTACAGTAATTGTAACTTTTCTAGCTTGGCTTCAGCGGAGAACAGGGTAAAAACCCCCGTGGAAGTCACAGTTATTATGCCTATGACGAAGTACCTCGTCCCAGGCGAAATAATTGTAGGTTTGCTAGGGTGGCTAAGGTTGGCAACAGGGTAAACCCCCCTGAAAACCCTACAATTATGTCGCCTGGGACGAAGTATATTCACATTCATCCTACACAAGAGAAGGCCACACATTGAGGACCAGCACCTGGGGTTTGGAGAGCCCCAGTGTGCGAGTAAGAGCCCTGCGGACCCGCGAGCGAGTTGGTGTAAGCCTGTGAGGTGAAGAGATTGGACCGTCGAACCTGGGCACTGTCCATGACTATATCACTACTCGGCCCCGATTTTCAGCAAAACCGACGAATGAGTAACTAGCGTTCCGTAGATATACACCTTTTCACACATGATCTGCCTTGCATGGAGCACTCTTAGCAGACCCCCGTCTCTTGGAGTGGGCGGCTCTGCAAGGCGAGTGCTGGATCCATATGTGTGTGTGGAGAGGTGGAAAGTTTAGTGAGAGTACAATATCTACCACCTACCCTCCAAAAAGAAATAACCTACCTCTCTTACATTCGTGTGAAAAGTATAGGAGAACCTAGTTGGCCGGACTACACCGAGAGATCGCTCCAGCTTCCTTGCTAGTCCTTGCAAGATAAAATTCGTTGTCGTTGTTCTAGAATTCGCGAATTGCTTGTATCGCTTTGTATCGTATAAACTATAACCCCTAGACCAGCTAGCTACCCCCTATATCGTTCAAATTATAGGTATAAGGTTTTATTTCCTCAGGACATACAAGTAGGAGGACCGTGTGCATTACTTAGGTAAGGAAGGGGTATTATACCTAGAATTATATGCCCTGAGATAACGACAAATAAATCGAATTATTCCTATAAGTAAAGGTGGGTAAGTATAACTAATACTATTTTATTTTAATGGTACAAAAGTAATTCGTGAGTTAAGAGAGCAAATAGAACTAAGAGAAACAAAGTAATAAGAAGGGGGGGCTAAGGGCTATAGCTGATCGAATTTCCTAGAGACCTTTAAACTAAGATTAGGTTAGTTATATATGGTTATATAGGTACTAGCCGCTTTATAGCTTAGAGAATATAAGTCTTCTACTTCGAGTTTGCGTTTATGTATTCTCTCTTATATCTAGGTTACTAGGAGAGATAAACAAGGTCTTGGATATAATGTTATTTAACATGTATATGCTTAATCCTCTCGTGGAACGCAGGGGTTTCGGAGAAGTTAAGAGCGCTCTTACTATCTGTATTTTCAAAAGTGATGAATGCACTGTACTCTAGCTTGTTATTTATTTCCATTGTGAACTCGTAATATGTCATTTACAGGTTTCATTACCCCATACGAACCTTAAAGTCCGTCCTCCAAGTGCGCAACACCCTATAAGTACTCAAGTCCTCACGACCCATCTGACACCGCTCCTTCCTATTCCATGAAAAACTCCGTAGTATCAACCGTCCTATTCGCCACCCCAGGCCACTTAACACCCGAAAAACTTGAGTAATTATAAACCCTACCTTGCGTCCCCAACTCCGTGAACCGATAACTAATCCAAAGCGTCGCATCCCCATTCGTCGCATCCTTCCCCGGTCTCAAAGTCGACACGATACTCCTCTTGATTCCCGTCGGGTAGCGCTCGATATCGAATATCGTACATGGCTCAATGACCGTGCCGTCCATGGGGACCATAGGGACGATTCTCTCGCATCTGGCGTGGAATCCTGGGATACGCAGGTCCCCGGTGATTTCGTCGCCGGTGATGTTGAAGGCGTATCCGGCTACATTGCTAGCGGGGTAGTTGTAGGAGAGCTGTCCAAACCAATTCTCCAGGGGCCACTGGTATTGGGGTCCTAGTGGTGGGGTGGCGCGGGTTTTTAGAGCGGGGGCGGAGAAGAGGGTCGCGAGATGGAGGAAGTTGAGGTGCATTTTGAAAGTTGAAATGAGTGTGAGTGTTCTTAGTTTGAAAAAAGGACTGAGAAAAAGGGGAAGAAGTAACAAGTAAGTCACTTCTTGCCTACAAAGGGACGTACACATTATATAGATGAAAAACACTTCTAGCTAATACTAAAATAGAATTTAAGAACAAACCAGTATACGAAGACCCCAGCCCTAAATTTAATGTATGATGACGTATTATACTCGCTAATTTAAAGCGAGCATCGCTCAATTTAGAGTAAATATAACTCCAATGTCGTCGAATAAATACGCCAAGAAAGTAAAGTAAAGTATTAATATAATGAACTTAACATTATTATCGAGAACCTGCAGTGAGAGACTATCGATGAAGCCGATTATTATACTTGAAAGAAAGATGACAATGGTTTAGTCGAAGATTTAGCGCTAAGTAGGCTATGAAGCTTGTTTGATACTATTGGGATCTCGGGGTATATAAGGGCCTGTTTGGCTCGAGTTTATCAGAGCCCTCTGGGAAATCGAGGCCAGATATATACGAAAATATCTAACACCCGCCGCGGGCCGTCCCAGGGTACAAAACTATCCCTAGCGCGTATATTTTCGTATACTAACAATAGGCGTAAAACCTTAAATATTATACTAAAGACGTAGTTCTAATAGAAATATATACTTATAAATATTATAATATAAAATCTACTTAATTCTTTTACTAATCCTTTATAGTATATATAACTATCTAGCTGTATAATAAGCGAGGTCTAAACAACTTATCCTACCTAACTCTGACCTAATTATACAAATAATAAAAGACGTTTCCTAAGATATTCCTCTAAACAAAGAAATCCTACTATACTCTAATCTTCTTAATACTAAGAAGTCCCTATAATAACCTCTATAAGTACCCTCCGAAGTTCCCCCCTTATCTATATTTACTATTAAGAATCCTTGTCTAATAATAAACTTCCTTTACTTTCGTATATAATATAAAGAATATATATATAAAGAACTCTTACTACTTCTATACCTTCTTTAATAAATCTACGTATAAAGAACTACCTCTACTTTTATATATCCTTTAATAAACACCTACATAAAGAACTACCTCTATATCTAGCTATAACCTAAACACCTCCTCTATCCTTTATAATATATTAAGGGCTACTAGGATAATTAGTAGTTATTATATTATAAATACTATTAAGGGCTACTAAGATAAGGAGTAGTAGTTATAAAACCTGGTAGGTTTTTAGAAGAGTAAAGTATAGTATTAAGACCGAGTAGTAAGAATTCGAATATATATATAGAGTTACTTAATCTAGTAGTAAAAAGCTTTATCTAAATATTAAAGTAAATAGCTATATCTTACTATCGAAATAAGTATTATTATTAAATCCTATAAGTTATCTACTTTTACTTTAAAAAGAGAAAGGTAGCTTAAATACTAAAACTTAATACCTAGTAATAATAAGATATTAATAAAAGTTTCTATCTTATCTATTCTCTTATCTATCTTCTCTCTAGCCTCTATAACTACTATTATTAATTACCAGTTGTTTGTTATAGCTTAGAAAGATAGTAACTGGATAAATAGTTAATTAGGTACTTTTAAAGAAGCTAAATATTAAACTATTAGCCTTATTTAACTATACTTAATAGTAATATTAGTTATAGTATAGCTATCCTTATATCCCATAGAAAACTTATTATAGTTAGTATCTAAGGGTAATAAATAGATAAAGATAAACTTATTATATAATAGCTATTATTCTATATAAATAGCTAAGGTTTATTTTAAGTAAGCTTAGTTCCTAGTTTCTTTTTAATTCCTTTTAAATATCCGAATTAATAGGATTTATTACTATTATTACTATTAAAGATTTACTTATTATTAAAAATAACTTAATCCTTTTATTAAGAAACCTAGATTTTAAGTAAAAGAAGCTATACTTATAAGTCGAGTAGATATTAATACTATAAATATCCTTTAAAGAAGTTAAAACGTTTATATTATCCATTTAGAGTTTCTACTACTAATTATATTTATAAAGTTAGTTATAATATTAGCTCTTAGTTATCTATAATAGGATCTTATATTAATTTTATATATTCGGAAAGAGATTAGTAACGCTATATCCTACTAGATGCTATAGAACTACGCCTATTTTATTAAATTAGCTATTATATATAAATTAAGGATTAATTGTCACGAATCACGTGCACACGTGACAAGTGAAGACCAGGCGGCGTCCTGACAGGTCAAGCACCATCGGACACTCTTATAGCAAGTGGGATCGATTAGGCTAGCTAAGCGATCCAGGGATTTTCTTTGGTTAGTATCACGTGACAAAGTTGGGTCGCCTGGAGCGACGAGCGCTCCAGTCGTCTGGGTCGACTCGGTAGACAAGCGACTCTGGCGACTCCAACAGTTGGAACAAAGAACGTAGGTTCTATATAAGACTGGCACTTCTGCCATTAGATAGGAGCTTCGTGCTCAACTTAGTTATCAA